AACAAGAATCCCCAAGCATAAGGGGCTCATGGAACAATGTGTAAATTTCCTCACTTTATGTGCCTCCATTTTTCCTCAGAATTCCGCTGTCTTCAAACTTTTTTCTGATAGACTTTAGCTTTCCTTAATCCAGTATCTATTTATTTAGGTTCTCCAACATGGCTTTTACCCCACAAATTTATTTCCCATTTCTATTTGTCTCTTATACCAATATACCCACACCACTTGTGTAGCTGTCATCTGTTCTCTGAAAACCCTATTGAATTACACATACAAGCTTCATTTAATTATAAATCATGGTGATTCAGAAAAAAATGGTAATCCATAAGCAGTATTCCTCTGGTGGAGTCCATTTTCCCTAATTCTGACTCTAGCAACAACCTTAATGATAATTTCTTCTATCAGTAGCATCTAGATTCTACTCAGGTTGTATAATATAATTAGAGTTCCTATCCAAGAAAAAATATCTTTTTGCACAAGTTACTCCTCAGGAGAGCCAAAATGGTAATTCCCATGCAAATAACAATTGAAGTATACTACCATTTGCTTTCAGCATCCTAGAAAGCATTACTCTGTGTCTGTTTTTTTTGTGCAATAGTTACTGATTTTTTTTTTCGGAGCAATTCCAACCCTTGAAGAGCCATATTTTTAAGGCCCATAGGAAATAAAATGACTTGAAAAACATAAAGTCAGAAAATGTGAAAAGGAGAAAGAGCAACACAGTAAATAAACACATCCACAGCAAAAAAAGGAAAAGCACATGAGGGAAATCCAGGTGTCAGAGACAAGCCTCCCCTCTTGGCCCAGCATGCTGGTAATCTGCATAAGCACACAGGTGAGGGAGCCTTTCTGAGATGTGATGCTGGACCTGCAGTGTGTTGCCATGGAAGTGAAGCTCGATTTTTTTAGCTCCTGTGTACCCTCCTCAGCACTTCTGGCAATGGTGACAGGTTCTTTCCCTTTGTTCGGAAACTGCTCTGGAAATGGCCCTGCCTCTTCCCCAATGCACTGAATGACTGCATTGTGAGGCCACACTGGAACCAAATTACATGAGAGAGAGAGATTTTTCACTACCATTCCTAAAATTAGACTCTCATGTGTGTGCTGGCTTAACAGAAGCAGAAACATTTTGCTGAAAGGGGCCTGCTCAGTGGTGATGCAAATTGCCATGCTTTTCAAACACATTTTCTGAACCCACAGCACATGGGCAGGCATATGACATGAGGCAGTTCAGGGCACCTTTACTGACTCTGAAAATTTGTTCTAAAATGTTGGTCTCAAGAGGTAGGTGGTGTGTTTTTGGAGAGGGTCTCTGAGCCACAAAGGATATATATAGTGTTTTCCAAGCAGATGGTAGTGCCAGAGTATTTGATGAATGGGAACAGATTTCCTGGTAGGACAGCAAAACAACTGTACTTGGCTTTGGAATCACAGAAAATTGCTTGTTCCTTGCCTCTAGACCTCTCCATGTGCAAAATCCAAACCTAACACAAAATGGGTGAAAATAGTTTTGAAAATTCATAGTGTTTACTTCATGGTTATGTCTGAATAGTGACTGAGGTCTTCAAAGGGCAGTACTATATATAATAAAAATCATCAGATAGATATTCTCATTCACTTTGAGATATTTTCTAATCGAACAGACTTCATTGCAGATGTAGCACATAAACATATTGGTTAGGTCTGGACTTAAAATCCTTGTAACCATCAAGAAAAGGACAATGGAATGAATGGAATGAATAGCTAGATCTAGGTAAGGTATTTGAATTTGGGCTAAAATATCAAACTTCATAAGTATAGCTTGAAAACCACTACTGTAACTACCTGTATTGTAGAGACCATGGCAGAGCAAAGAGCTCTGTGCTCACTGGGTGAAGACCTGCCATGGCATCTGTACTGATATTTCATCCATGCTTCCTTTGGGCTCCTCTTTAACACTGGACAGAACCAACTCAATCTTCACTACATTTTTCTATCTGTTCTTGAATAAAAAATGCTTCATTTTGGATGTTTTAAACACCCTATAATTCTTTAATGGCAGCAACTGGACCCCCTGCCCAAGCCAGTTTTAACCCAACCAAGATACTAGAAGGCAGAGCACAGAGTTGTGCCTATCAGGTCAATGGGGACAATGGAGCCCAGGGCTCCATGACTCTACATGGGTATAAGACTGGACCCAAACTTTATTTACTCTTAGGCCTATCAGATGTAAGACCTGGGAGGAGCCTTGTTATTTACAAATTAAGAAATTGAAGCCTTTGCACTTAACCAAAGAGGGACACACAAGCATTTATTACACTCATCTTGTTTATTTTTAAATATGTATTGCTAGGGCAAAGTTGTGATTTTCTTTACAATATATACAACTTTATATGAAGAATAAAAATAAGCATTAAGGAGATTTCTTCCTCTAGGAAAATACTTTACATAATTAGTCTAACCACTAAACTATCAGAAAAGAACCTGACCACAGCCACAAAAGATATCTGATATACTTAGAATTCCAGTTGCCAACTGTGTTTTTGTTCCTGTTTATTCAAAGACAAGTGGACATATTTTATAAACATGGGCATAAAAAAGAATACCTTCTAATCAAGACACAGTGAGCAAGCTCTTACAATTGACAATCAAGTGTTCAAATATTGAGATTTATTTATGCAGGGATGTCAGCTTGTTGTATTGAATTGACCTTGCAAATCAGCTAATATCACTGCAGTCAGAAATAGTTTCTGCAGAAAAATCTCAGAATTATTTGTAGAAGTACCAATAACACCTAAGAATAAGTCACATATGCCTTTGTATTATCCAGCCCAAGTCACAGCCTTCCACCAGGATTCCCTTTACGTGATTCTCACTGCTCTGAGATCCATTGTACTGTTTTCCATCCTGAGATCTCATCTACTATCTCTACTCATTTCAGTTGTGTTTATACAAGTAGTTGCAACTGGTGGTTCTGTCATATGTCCAAGCTATAAATGCAAGCAACACTCACAAATACAGAAATTTAACAAATATTGTTTTGAACTCGGGTAGATCTATAGTACTCTTTGCATATGTCCAATACTATATTTCAAATAATCGATTTTCTTTGTGTTAAAGTGCCCTTGGACACATAAAAAGCTCTTTAATTCTAAAACATTATTTATCCATTTAACATCACTGAAATTAGCAGGAACCTGATATGGAACAATTGTCATCTTTTCTCTTTCTTATGTGGTACATGTGGTAATGGTGCATCCCACATCAGTAACATCTCAGATTGAAATAAGATATATCTTCCCCACCCATTTCTTGTGGAGAAAAAATGTCTTCTTTGATGGAAAAGAGCAATGCATTTAAAAAAACTATGGCTGAACACTAACTTGAAAAGTTGCTTAACCTCGTCTACTCTTAATTATGCAAATACTATGTATTTAAATATGCACACCCATCAAGAACAGTTGAGGACTCTTCTAAGTTTTCTTAGAGACCTCTAAAACTCTCTTTTACAGATTTTAAAAATCAGTCGTGTAATCAGTTTCACATTCGTTGTGCCTCTTTTTCAGTAAGATAGTACACATGCCCACATTGCAAGGTTTGATGTAGATCTCAATTCCCACTCCAAGAGAAACTAAGAAACATCTCTTTTTTTCCTTTCTTTTCATTTACATTCCCAGTTCTTCAGAGATGGTCTTGCTATATATAATATTCATAATAAGCTAACTATATTTCTTAGGTTTCTTGGAACAGAGAAGAAATTAGATGTTTTCAGTCAAGGGCCCTAGCACAGTCATACTGTGAATCTAATATAAAAGGAATAATGGCAAAGAAAATTTTAAAAAATTAAAATATGGGAGAGCAAAGAAAAAAGCCCTAGCAGTAGTATTTTATTTCATGATGCAAAAATCCCTTCTATCATCATGAATACTGACATATATATATAAACATTTGAGAGGGAAGATAAAACATAGATTCATTTCATTTAATATCGTGATTTCTAACCCAAATGCTTGGCCAGTGGAAGAAAGAAAAATATATTATTATATGAAGTACCTGGCACCCCAAATCACCATTAACAGTAGTAATAGTTTAAAAACAAAATAAGAATAAAAAGACCTAGAATATCTTTCCAAAATATCTTTTCATTAATGATATATTCTTTGTCTTTTCACTTAAACTACTGTTGACTAGCTGTCTGAGGTTTAATTTTCCCTTAGTCACTTATGAAAGAGAAATGATTACAATATGGAAAGGACACTAGTGACCATACACTTAGAAAACTCCTTTTTTATAATATATCAAAATATTACTGTCTACATACCTGTAAAGGAAACCAATCTAAAATCGGATTTGTTCAACTTCTCAACAAAACATTTCCCAAGAGTCACCACCTCAACCAACAACATTCTCACTATGGTATCAGCCCACAGAAATCATTTTAAGTAAAGTATATGACAAGGTATGACATCTCAGAAAAAGTGCCACTTTACATTCACCAGGGCAAAGAAATTAGGCCCCAAAGTAAAAATTGCCAATTACTGTCATTGCTTTGTTGCACCAAAAGAGTTCAATTATATCACAAAGAATTTTAGAAAGCACTAACTTAAATAAAATATAAAATCTTCAAACTACCTACAGGTTTCCCCTAGCTCATAAATTACCAAATTTTTCATTTAAACAAGTCCATTCCCTATATTCACTAACTATACACATGAAATAGATGAGTAGTACTATCAAAGTACTTTCTACTTCTCTTCATTTCCTCTTTCTCCTTTCTGCTTCCTTTCAAAATTATTTTACATTCTTATTTCAGACCTTTTCATCCTTTAGTATCACATTTAAAAATCTGGATAATACGATGGTCATGATGGAAACTAATCACACTCTACATTGATGAATGGCTATTTACAAAATGATCTCTATCATTTTAAAAAAGAAAATGTAATTGAGACTTTAAATTCCAAATAAAATGCTACAACTGAAATGACACTGACTAGCTATGAGTGCTGGAAGTCACCCACCTGGGGCAGCATGCGATTTTCTTCCTCCAGCTGTCTTACTCTTGCCTCCAGCTGCCTAACATAGGACAAGGTTGATTCTAAAATTAAAAAGAAAGAACTCACATTATACACACAGGTCTTGTTTGATGCACTGTTAGGATATTTCTGGCTTCATTTATTCAAATCAGATAGTGACTACTTAGTCTGTTATTATTTTTTAAAAAAGATTTCTTTCTAGAAAAAACAATAATGGAAGCCATTGAAACTACAAGCAGTTTGAACAATTACAGTGTTAAGAGAATTAGAAAAATGTGTAGGTGGTGAGATTGCAGGCTTTTGCATACCATGCAGGCCTCAGAACTTTAGATATCTTGAAGACAATTATTCCCTTTTCTACTTATTTTGTCTATTTTGAACTATCAATGAATTGTCCCATAAGTAAGATATTTTGTAATGTTAATTAAAACCTAAATAAATTACGAGTTCACATTAAAAAATAGAAAACAGAAAAATTTTCAAATATCCAGCTCCCTTCATTTTCCCAATAAATATTTCAAGTCTCAAGAGCAATATTTGTTGTCAGATATCTACAGATATCATGGCTGTAGTGCAGAAGAGAGCTACAAAAAGGCTAAATAATTAGGCTGAGTTTTTACTTTCATTTTTGTTGAATGTGACAGATTTCCCAAATCTTTAGGGAAACCAGGGTCAGATTTGATATCCATCTTGTTTTCCTTTCGTTGCATCAGGTATGTGCTGAAAACTCAGAATCAGCATCTTCCTTAGTGTCTCTTCCATAGTGAAACTCTAAAGTTTATAGCTTTGTTTGAGGAAAGGGGGTCACAGGTGGAGGAAAATGAAGTTTCATTTTGAGGAATAATCTGACAATTAACTCTCCATTAAAGTGGAAATATTTAAGTGCCTCATAAAGCAACATAGATGCAATTCATTTATTACCCAAGAACACACATATTTTGGGTTCAGTGAAATGTACATAACAACAGAATCCCTCCCAAGGATATTACCATAGTTAATATTAAAGCAGCAGATCATCCTCAGTGCATGCTCTTCAGCCTCAAAAACACAAAAGAGCAAGAAACAAGACCAAGATAAAGAGGTAAATATTGGGAGCCCCTAAAAATCCAAAATTAGGATGGATATTGATGCAAATGAACACCTTGATCTGAAATTCATCATGGAAATTCTACTGTTTAATTTTTATATGGAAATTAGTTATATTAACTCAATTCTATTTTTATGATCTCCAAAGCAACATATAATTTTCTTAAAATACATAGAAGAGTCCATTATTTAATTCATAAATGGAACTATTAAGCTCAGCCTGAACAGTTTATAGCATTCATGTTTTCACAAATCTTTGTCCAAAGTTCCTACACCAACATTAATGTAACTACCCATGGATCTCACACCAGTGGAACGGACTTAGCCTTAAGCATTCTTCCTATAAGAGAAGAGCACAAGGTCAAGGAAACTGAAGACTGAAGATATATTTCTAGATATATGCTCTCATTTTTTTAGCTCAATGAAGTGTTAAGAGTTTGTTTTATGGACTTTTCCAAGTAGAAAAAAAAAGCATATGGCATAAATGAATAACAAACTTATTGATTTCATGAAACTGCATTACTCTGGCAAATGAATAAGTGATTTGTAGATCATCAAAACATGAATTTAGATTGCCTGATTTATAGTTTTGCAAACCCCACTCTATTCTAGAAAAACAACAACTTGATAAGGGCCATCCAAGTGAAAAGTTGCTCAGAAATATTCTATTTAAACCATGAACAAATACAATTATTTTCTCCCTTGTTCATAATTTACTGCTTATCTTTACTGTATCTATACTGCACTATCCCTAAGGCTATGATACTTAAAGCAGCTGAAATGACTCTGTACAGAGAAAGTCAGGTGACATTTGAAAAACACCACAGAATGGATTTTGATTCTTTTAATTCTTTTAAAATTTTAATCTTCAGTCACTTTCTTTCTTTTTAAAATCTTGGCAGTGTACATATTTGGTGGTTTTACTAAGTTTCTATGTATATTACAAAAGTCATGCCAGTTCAAAAAAAGGGGATAAATTCCTGAATTTAGAAAATGTTCCTTAACTCTAATTTTTAATGTCAAGCTATAACAGATGAAGCCCAAATCTCTGATTCAAAACATTCACTATAAATATGGTCTGGGACAGGAAGAGATAGGGAATAATTTAGACAGGTAAAGTAATGAAAAAATTAGCTTTATAGTGAAGGTAAAGCTAAGGAGAGTTTTGAGTTCTCCTATTCAACAAAATACTACTGTGTTATTGACTTGTGACAGGCACTATTCTAGGGTTGGGATGAAAAGAAAGCCAATTATTGCAAGTCTTAAGCTTCCCAAAATACAAATTCCATATTAGGATCACAAGTTTATGTGCTATGTTCCAGAAGGTCCTGTTTTCCTAGGCCCAGGCTCTGTTGGAATTATTATTTAACAATGAGTGGATATGATCAATGAGAAACTCCTCAGATCAGTGGGGTGGGGGTGGCAGTGGGTGTAAGCTGGGGGAATAATTGATCTGCATGCATACATAAGAGAATTCATGCTGGTACTTGTTTTATTCATCAAGAAACTAATTACATAATTCTTTAAATGGGAGTGGAGTGGGCAAACATTTTTCTAGAATATACTGTACAATCATCACTAGGTCTCCAAGTCCTTGTATGAAGAGCTACTGAAAAAAAACACCCAATCCTTTGTGAGAAAAATAAGTATCTGTTTGTTAAGCCCTTAGGATTTTAATATTTGTTACTATACCATATGCTAGCCAAGCCTGACTACTAGTACGTAACCAATAATGGGATAGAAAATATGTGAACATTTTTAAGTAAAACACAATAGGATAAATTGTAAGGAACCCATACTTTTAAAATATTCACATCACAATTCACATCACAGTCCTGCTTGATCATTAGAAAAAAAAAGGACAAAATCTTGGGTATAATAAAAAAAAGGAGGCTTGTGTGTCCTGGAACATGCTTGGCCCATCTGCCACAACCCCTCCCCACGCTGCTCTCCCTTTTGTTCCTTACTCAAGGCACTTTCACCGTGGTGTTAAGTATAAAATAGGCAGGGAATCTGGAGTACAGTTGTGCATTGACTTAAGAGAAGTGCCTAACAAAAAACTGGTGTTTTTTTAAATATAAACTGATACACACACACACACATAGTATTAGAATGTACTGTAATTTGAATTGATCTTTACATTTTTATACCAGTAGCTGACAGTTATTGAAATTGAGATTTCAAAATGTCATTTTTGCTTTCAGAACTCTAAGAATAAGGCTCCAACAGAGCATCGACTTCCCCCATGAAAAAACAGCCAAATTATATGCTATACTGTATGCAGATACACAATGTATTAGAGGAGGATGGACCCTTTCTTCAAAAAGTATATAACCAGTTGCGGAGAGAGAAAAAGGAAAAAAAAAATCAAACAGTAAATTAATATGAAATTCAGTGCTATATCACGTAGAACAGGAAAACAGAAAGAGAACAATATTGGTTGCAATTATTATGAAGGAGAAATTTGAGCTTAATGGATCAACAGAACTTTGATGGGCCAGAGAGACATGAGTGGAGCCATAGGATGGACAGGAGCCAGGAGCCAAGACCTGTCCTGAAGTGACAGCTGAGATGGAAGGAGTCACATGAAGGAAGAGAAAGAGAAGTACCGGTGAGGAGAAGGAGGAAACTTCCTGGTCATGAACCTGGAAAGCCAATGTCAAGACACAATCGGGCACGTGATGGTTTGCTCCTAACCTCCCAAAGGATTTTCCTTTCTCTTTCCACCACGGGAAATCTATGGACATCTACCCATTAAAACAGCAAGACTAAGCAAACAATACCAAGGTGAAATTCCAGCAACATTCTCAAGATGTAAATCGTGGGTGTGTTTTCAGAGCAGGAGCCATTTCTCTCTCTGTGTCTCACTTTTTTTTGACCTATATGTAAAAGTTCACAGCATCTCTCATAATAAAATAGTCCTAAAACTTCCACTGAATTCACATCTAAATGGTTCCAATTTTAGAACTGACACATTCCTTAGAGATTTCCTAATTCAACCAGTTCCCCATCCCCTAACTCATTTGGCAGACGACAGAACAAAGCCCAGAAAATAGTGAATAGCCCCTCACGCTAGAGATGAGTCACATATATTCAAAATATTTTGTTTCATTGCTAGGGCATCACAATGATCCCTAGCTTGGATTTTCTAACCATTAAGTGATGCCAAGCTTCTTACATAGGTAGTTCAATTCTAAGTTTTTCCTCTTTCTACTTCATTTTAGGTATTCTGGATGGATTTTTACTTTTACAATAACTTAATATTGTAATTTCCTAGACTTGATTTCACTTCAATTTACCTGAAATGCATGTAATTGCATAAAGTAGCTTGACTTTTTCCTCTGCTAGTTTGAAAATACTCTGATAAAAATATTAAACCCTTTGCTTTCCCCTTGGTTTCTAAACATGTTTCTCTCCCTAGGGAAATACCCATTCTTGAAATCACCAATGAATTATGGTGATTATTGTACATAAAAAGTTTATCATTGGCAGATTCAACTGTCTAAGGTTTGTCAAACTTCTGAGTGGTTTTGATTCAATGAAATGCTGTCTGGTCTCCAAAATTTCAGGGCAGAAAACAAAATCTGGTAATGGTTCATTCTAAAACAAATTACATCATTTGGAAAGACATACAGGAGGAAAATCATCTGGCAGACTATTTTGGCCGTGGGTTTACACATGTTAGCTTTCCTGTGGCTCATTCAGGTTGGTCTCCCTTGGCCAGAGAGAGAGAGTCCGGGGGTCGTGCAATGTCAGATCTGGAGGCAATCTCTTCAATGAACTCTCAACTCTAAAGACACTGCTTGGATTAGTTTCATACTAATTCCACCATCCACAGGTTTTTATACATTCCTAAGGAAATTACCTGAGAACTACATACTTTAAAAATTATTACTGTTCTGACTAAAAGTGTTTCTCTTTCTTCCTCAGGCAAGCAAAGGTCAGCCTCCTACTTAGAATTCACATTAGTCCAAAA